ACTGTTATGACTGGATGACCAGATGATGGAATGACTGGCCATTAGCTATGACATGCACTGACCACCAGGGGGAAGATGCTCAATGCAGGAGCTGCCCCCTGGTGGTTAGTGTGCTCCCACAGCCTACCTCCCCTGGCTGGCCAACCTCCCATTGTCCCTCCCCCGGGACTGGGCGAGATGGCCCCTATTGGCCCTGGTCACTGGCCAGGCCAAGGGACCCCACCATGCATGAATTCGTGCACTGGGCCTCTAATATTTATATAACTAACTGGCCAGCTAACCACTAGCTATTCAAAGTGTTTTTTCGTGCATGATAAGAATATTATTATTATTATTATTATTTTTTTATGTGTATGTTTTTAACCCCCCTCCCTCCCGCCCCCGAACCCTCCCCAGCCTTCCCGCTGTAGTTTGACACTCTGTTTGAGGCAGCTCTGCCTCTGTATCTATTATTGGTCAAAAGTTTATAATGGTCTCAATTATCCATGAATGAGTGAGATCATGTGGTATTTTTCCTTCATTGACTGGCTTATTCGTGCATGATAAGAATATTAAACTCTCCCTCTCCTTTCCTTCCTTCCTCCTCCATAGTATTAAAACGCATTTACTTTTCATTACTTTTCCTTCATGCAGAATGCAATACGTAAGTTACTGGAAAAGCCTGTTTCCCCCATCGCCCATCTCGAGAGGCCCCAACTCACCTGCACGTCATAATGGGGGATCGCTGTTCCCAGGCAGCTGGGCTTGACTTTCATTGTCTTGGAAACTCTGCAGGTGAGTCCCTGTGGGAAGCAGCAGACAGATGGGCAAACGTCAGGAGGGTCATAGGTCCCAGCAAAAAGAAAAGAAAGAAAAAGGACCCTCAGCAGAGCAGTCCTGACGTGGTGGAAAGATGACTCACATTCGGTGGCTCCCTTCCGCCCCTCCCTTGCTCTCCCCTTTCTCCTGCTCTCCCCTCCCCTGCTCCCTCCCCTCTCCTGTTCTCTCCCCTCTCCTGCTCTCCCCCCTCCCCTGCTCTCTCCCCTCCCCTGCTTTCTGGCCTTCCCTGAAACCCCTAAATTGTTTGGAAAGCAATCCATTGACTACTCCCAGTATGGAGGAACTACCAACCACATTATGATCTTTTTACGGGGATCCATACTTTCCTAAGGGACCACGGGCACCCAAAGTCCTTTAAAGCCAAATGGAATTAAATGACCTCCCCTAAGAGGCCAGCCTTGCTGGGCCCTGAAGTACACTCCCACAGAGACGCGGGCCTAGCCAGGCTCCCTCTGAAAGGCCGACCCTGTGGCTGCGCTGTCCTACCCACACTGTAAACCTCTGCCCACACGCTGCCAGTTCCCCAGGGGTTCTCCTCAGGAGGGTGGAGGGTAGTGGTGGTGAAGAGGAGGGAGAAGTGCTGAGAGGCCGAGCAGAGGCGCTGGGGAAGGAGGGGAAGCGCCCAGACGGCTTTCATAAGCAGCACAGTGAGTCCCGGCCCAGGGCCCTGGGTCCCAGGAGACCTGGCAGGTGGAGTGGGGCTCTTGGTGGTTCCCATTCTGCCTGAGCAGCCCGTGCCTGGCACATTCCAGAAGCCAGGGCTCTGCTGAGACAGCTTCACTCAGAGGGTTTGCTGGCCTCCATGCCACCTCCCCCGCTGCACTCATTCTACTCCTCTCCACAGAACCTCTGTGGCCGCCTTGTCACGTCTATTAGTCCCCCTCCCCTATGAGTGCAACCCCCCTCCCCCCACTCAGCCTGTGGTATCTCTGCTGCGTTCTCAGGGCTGACCCACAGGGGGTGCTCCATGAATACTGATGGGACAGCACATGAGGAACATGGCTCACATTCTTATTGTCAAAGTGGAATCGGCCCAGGGGGCCAGCTCCTGGCCCGACCCCCCACGCCCCGTCCCGGGCCTACCGTCTCCGTCTGGCCATAGAACTCGCGGATGTCCAGTCCTGTCTGCGCCTGCCAGCTTGCCAGCGTGCCCGGGAGGAGGGCCTCGCCACCGCTGAAGCAGCTCTGCAGGTATGGGAACTTGTAACTGAGGAGAGAGGTGAGTGTCCCCCACAGACTCCGTGGGTCAGTAGGTGAGCGTGGGGAGGGGGAGGTCCTGACCACCCGAGCCCATCACCTGGACAGGTCCTGCTGCACCAGCATTCAGTAGACTATGGGGGCCCCTACCATGTTGTTGATGGGGTAGCTGGACAGCACCTGCAGGAGGAGAGCCAGGTGAGACGCCGCGCCCAGGTCGGGTGCCCAGCCGGCCAGGACACATGGTGGTTCCGAGCCTGGGTGCTGGCATGGCAGGGTCTGCCTTTAAATCCTAGCTTATTTGTTGTGTCTGTTTCGGGTCCAATGAGCCCCAATTCTCATGTCCCCTCAAGCCCAACATAACAGAGAAACGAGCACTTATCATGGGAGGGAAAGGCCCAGGGTTATTTTGTGGCATTTTTGTCAAATCGAGCTGCCTACTCCTGCAGATGTGATGACTGTCCTCATATCCACACCTTCAGGTTATGCAAACCCCAGCCTTCCAGGGAAGGAGGCTGCCACTGTGGCAAGTGGCGGTGTGCTCTTGGTTCAGTGCCTAGCCTCCGGACCAGCTTCACGACAGATTAATTCAGGTGGGAAAGTGCCTTATCGGCACTTCAGAAGCGCTGCTAAAATTTAGCTGGCACTGAATACTTGCTAGACCTTGTGCCAGCTCCTTCTCTTCTCACAATAGCCTCATGGCGTCTGCATGATCATCCCCAGTCAGAGGGAAAGCTGTGACTCAGACGACGAAGTGACGTGCCCAAGGTCACACAAGCAGCCAGGAGTGGAACCAGAATTTGCTGCCAGTATGCCTAACTGCTATGTAACACCACCTTTGTCTGCACAGAGCTTATAGAAAAACGACTTAGGCAAAAATATATAGAAAAACGATTAACATCAGTGAATCATGCAATTATTTCCTCCAAGTACTCTTTTTGTTTTAAAACCTCACCCAAGCATATATTTTCCATTGATTCTAGAGAGAGAAAGGGGGAGATGGGGAGAGGGAGAAACATTGATGTCAGAGAGAAACATGGATTGGCACTCCGACCAGAGATCGAACCTGCAACCTGGGTATGTGCCCTGACTGGGAATTGGACCCGCGACCCTTCAGTGCATGGGACGATGTTCTAACCAACTTAGCCACACCAGCCAGGGCATCCCCCAAACACTCCTGATGAACTGGTAAAAGCTATGGAAACATCCCATCTCCCTTATTGCCTTGCCCTACAGGAAGCTCAGTATGTAATTACCTACTTACTTGCTGCACTTCTCTTTACTCCTGTTGGTTACCCCACCCAAACTCCAATCTATATTTTCCTAATAGGTTTTTAGAAAAAACTATTTGCTCCACTTAACAGAAGTCATATCAAATCATTTTTGGAAGGAGGCAGAGTAAGAATTTGTTTACATCAGAAAATGACAAAATCATTTGAATAGAATCTCCTGAGAATCCAGACCAAGCCTGACCAGTTGCCGGCCAAACAGAAGTCCGATTGGGCCCTGGACTCCCCCAGAGACCCGGCGGCGCAGGAGGTGCACGGCCCAGCCCTCCTCAGGCCGAGTCCAGCACCGGGTGTGCCCGTGCAAGCAAAGTGAGCCTCCCACCGCCTTGTGCACTGGGCCAGGCTGTTTGCAGACTTTATCTAACGGCTGCCCTGTCAAGTTCCGTGGGAAAACTCCAATTTATTCTTCCAAACTCCTCCAGCCCCGAACTGGCAATGACCCTAATGTCCATCCCCAGTGGGATGGAGAAGAAATCATGATTGGACACAGAGTGGAATACGCCACAGCAGCCGGAGAGGACAAACATCTCCACCGAGCAGCCAGTGGCGAGTAGTCACGAGTAGTCACAGTGTTGAGTGGAAGAAGCCAAACACAAGAGATCACACACTAGGTGGCTCCACTCCATGAAGATCACAGAGAAGCAAGCTACCCTGGAGTGGAGGTCAGGAGGCGGAGGAGCCGATGGAGCATGGCAGTGGCGTGGCGGCGGGGGCACTCCCTGCCGTAATGGGAATGTCTTACGTCTTGAAAAGGCGGCAGTGACAGGGGTGCCTGTCATAGACTGAATGCTGTGCCCCCCAATTCACGTGTTGAAGCCCTAGCCCCGTGGGAAGGTGTTGGGCCTTTGGGAGGTAATTAGGTTCAGATGAGGTCCTGAGGGCAGGCCCTGTGGTGGGGTCAGACTCACTCTCTTCACAGGGGACCCAACAAGGGAGTTGTCTTGTGCACCCGAAGGACATGCCCCCTGGCCCAGGCTGTCAGCCTCAGCCCGTGAGAGGGAGATGTCTGGGGGTAAGCCCCGCCCCAGGGTGCTTGTTATAGCAGCCCAAGCTGGTGCTGGGTGTGACACAGGTCAGTTGTTTGCCAGCTGTGCCCTTAACATAGCTGCACTCCGTGCATTTTACCTGTAGTCTGTGCTGTACTCCACACACACACACACACACACACACACACACATCACGTCACCTCCACAGCCCACCCTTCCCTACGCGTGGTTCACCACCATCTATCAGATGCTTGGAACCAGTTAACACGTGTTGAGTGAGCCAGTGACCCATGCCTGTTGCCTGAATATACTCTTTGTACAATATGTGGGTTTCTCTCCTTCCCTGGCCCACGAGCCCTGGGAGGCCGGGGCCCTCTCCATCTTGTGTACTGAACAATGTTCATCCATAGGGCGGGGGTTAGCAGACTAGATGAGCTGAAAGAAACTGCAGTCAATCAGAGTGTGCAAACCTTGGGCTGACCGCCGCGTGGTGTGCAGTGGGCCTCTCTCACCTGTAGGATGGCCAGTGGGTCAAACTTCGGCAGGAGATGGATAAATACGCATGCCCCCGACGTCCAGGGTTCCAGAAATGAGCACAGGATGTTTAGTATCCACGCCGTGTCTGTTATGGTCCAGATCAGGTCCAAGGCTTGCAAGTCTGTCCACAGGCTGAGGGAAGAGAGGAAACACACATGCATATACGCAGGAGCGTGCACATGGCGGGCAGGGGCAGGTGTGTGCGCTCAGGTGTGTGTGTGTGCTGAGTGTGGTGGCATGTTTGGTAGGAGTGTGTGGGAGCTAAAACTGATAGAGGAAAGAGAGTTGTTCTGTCTACACACTCTGTTTCCTGAAGGAGAGAGTATTTGGAAGGTGTGATCCCAGCTGACATCACTTAACAGATAACTGGATCTCATTCTCATGTTATCCCCAGAATGCAGTGCGGCTTTGACCTGTAGCAGCCACCAGGACATGTTTACCGTGCTTCCTCACAAAACATCCCCAGGTGATCATTCCAGCAAGGAGCCTTGCTGAGCTCCAGCTCAGCTGAGCAGGCCTTTGGTCCTGTTTCCTTGAAGCATCACAATGGCCTATGCCTGTTTCCTTTCTCTTGTGCAGCCAGAATAAAAGGCTTTAGGCCTGTCGTAAAGCAGGAACGATTTAGCCTGGACATGGAGAACTTCCGGTGGTGGGAGACCATGGTGCGTGTCCCTGCCTGAAGGTGGCTTCTACTTTCAATGCTGTAACAAGACTGGATCACAGTCTATCCAGAACAAATTTGGGGGGTGGGGTGAAAATTAATATCTTAGATACATTTAAGTGAGTTAGCTTCCCTATTTTAGAAACTGTATTTTACTCAGGCTCTTCTACTAAATTATTTCTGTTAAATAACTTAGTTTTCTGGTACCACAGACTCACAGGTGGAACATTTAGGTTTTTGAGTTTCTTACAGAAACGATTTTTCCAGGTCTGGTCATGACAGGGCCGGTGTGCAGTGCCTCCTATGAAAGGCCCTGAAGGTCCGTTAGAGCTGCCCGGCCACCTGGCCCCGTGTTGCCCGACTCACTGACAGGGCTAAGGAAGAGTGGAGGGTGTTCTCAGTGCTGACAGCTGAGACCTCCTTTCACCGAGTTAATCCGACGATGGCTTCTGAAAGTAGTTTGCTGCTGACACAAGTGCCCCTTTGGAGTGTGGGTAGCGCTAAAGCAAGTCGCCAGCGCCTCACAGGAGGAGGCGTGGGTCAGTCTGGGGGAACGCATGGCATGCCAAGCAGGTCAAACTTCAAAGGCGGCATGCGGCCTGCCGGCTGAGCGTGGCATGCTTGTGCGCTTATCAGTCAGACTGGCAGCTCATGGTGCCAAGGCCGGAGGCCTTGAGCTCCCTCCTATGAGCGGCCGGTGTCTGCCGGGTGCAGCCAGGCGCCCTCCTGCCCGCTCCCTGCCTTTCTCAGAAGCACCAGGGGGTAGCCGCCCATGAGCCCTGGGCCTGACTCAGACGAGTCTCTAGGTCGGCCCTGTGGCGAGGGGATCTGCTTACCCAGCGACCATCTTGGCTTTGACGCCCAGGCTGGCGTGGGAGTGCTCTGCCATCTTGGGGAGCCCGGTGCTCCCGCTGGTGAAGTAGATGGCCGCCGCTTCCTGGCCTCCTGTCTCCACGCAGCGGTGAGTGGGGGACGCATCTCTGCAGAGACAGGTCGCCCTCTCAGAGCTGCGGCACCAGGGGTCCCGGTGGCGCTGTCCTCACCCGCTCCTGCTGCAGGGCCAGTGGCGGCCCGGAGGGCGGCTTCGTGGGGCGGTCAGGTGAGTCCGAGCCAGCCAGCCTTGGGCGGGCGCCACGCAGGGCTGACCTTGTGAGCTGTGACGGGACTGACCGGACTCCCCGGGCTCACTTTCCATTCAGTGCAATGGGATCAGTGGGTCTCCTAGTCACGGAGGAAGTTACTGCGACACAAACGAAAGGGCTGCTTGCTTAGCGAGCACTCAGTAAATGCGCATCTACTTGCTGTCGGGATCTCTGACATGACACCAGGTAAAGAGGGGGTGCCAGCTAGTCCCTCGAAGCATGCGCATCCCTAGGCCTCTCCTCCAGGGTCCTGACCTCGAGCCTCCCAGAGCTGGTCTCGCTGTCTTGTCCCCTGGCAGCTCTCTTAAACACACGTCAGCAGAAAGAAAAAGCTCCGGTCCTCCTGGGTTTCCTGGGCTCAATGTCTCCGGGGAGGGGTTTCAGGGGAGCGGGCTGCCCCACCAGTGCTGCGTGGCTGCAGGCCTGGCTGAGGGATGCGGGACTGGAGGGGGCGTGGCTGGAGGAGGGGCCAGAAACCGGTGTGTCAGTCATCGCTCAGATGCTCCTGGCCGCACCCCTGACTCCTTCCCCTGAACAGGCTGGGGGAGTTTCCACCCACTTAGTGTTGTTTCTGGTGTGGGCCAGGGCTCGCTGTTGCCCCCTGGCTGGAACCCGGAGCTACTCTGCATGTAGGTGTGTGCAGCCCAGGGGGTGGGTGGCTAGTGTCCCCAACGGGCAATGCTCTCCCGGTGGAGCTCAGTGCTGCTGGTCCTTCCATGAGAACCCTGAGCAGCATCATGTGCCCTCAGAAGGCCCGCTTACCCCTGAGTGACGCTGGCGTGAGCCTCCCCTTGTCAGTGCTCCGCACTGCTCCCGACCTGCCCCGGGGAAGCACTTGCACCTGAGTGCCTGGTTCAGGACCCACTGGTGATGGGAACCAGGGAAGGACATGCAGCTACTCACTGCAGGAGCGTCTTGAAGTCCAGCCACCCATCCCGGCCTTTTGTAGACACCAGTAGCTTCGTCTTCAGAGACGGGCAGTCGGGTGCCACAGTGTCCACTGCCTGGGCCACGTCCTCCTCTGCCACGATGGCCCTGGCCCTGGACACCTGCAGCCTGTAGAGGATGTCCCTGGCCGTCATCTGGATGGTCCCGGGCATGAAGACGAGGCCTGGAGGAGTCAGGTGCTTAGAGAGAACAGGAAGGGGCTGTCTCCTTCCCTGCAGAAGCTGATGGAACAGCCAGTGCGGTCCAGTGGAGGGGAGTTTGGGGAAGGGACGACCAATGGGGAATGTCAATGATGACGGGCCAGGGGCCACAGAGTGAATTAAACACAGGTTTCCCTGGGCTGTCAGAGCTGTAAGAGGTCTAATGTCACACCATTGACAGTCTAAGCCTAATAACCCCACCCTCAGCCCCTACACAGACAAACATACACACACAGACACATACACATTTATACAGACACACACAGACATACACAGACACACAGATACACACACAGACACACAGATACACACAGACATACACACACAGACACATACACACACAGACACATTCATACAGACACACACAGACATACACACACACACACACACACACACATAACACACAGACACACAGATACATACACACACACATTCATACAGACACACACAGACATACACGCACACATTCATACAGACACACACAGACACACACATTCATACAGACACACACAGACATACACGCACACATTCATACAGACACACACAGACACACACAGACACACAAGACACACACATACACACATACACATTCATACAGACACACACAGGCATACACAGACACACAGATACACACACAGACACATTCATACAGACACACACAGACATACACAGACACACACAGACACACAGATACACATACATACACACACAGACACATACATACACACACATACACATTCATACACACATACATACACAGCCACACAGATACACACACAGACACACAGAGATACATGGACACACACACACATAGACACAGATACACACACATAGACACAGATCCACACACATAGACAATCACATACACAGACAGATTCAGCTCATCTGCAGTTCCTGGCCTCAGTACCACTCCACTGAGCCACCCGGGGCTGCTGCAGATCGGACTGCTCAGGGCCCTCTGAGAGCCAAAGGGCCAATGGTAAATGCATTAGGCCTTGCGGACCAGACGCTCTCCATCCCAATGACTCAAGTCTGCCCTTAGTCCAGTGCAGCTCAGGCAGGGACAATACATAACGTCACAGCTGTGCTCCAATGAAACTTTAGTTACAAAGACTGGCTGTGAGCCAGACTTTTAATAGGTTCTGAGAAAATTCACATGCCACCTATCAAAATGGTGGTGAAGTAACAATGTGAACAGCGGATAGCTCATGCTGCCTTTCTCTGGACATCTGTAAGCCCATGAGCACAGACCATGCGTGGCTCGCCTGTTGCCAGCCACCTCGAGCAGGCGTTTAGGAGATAGTTTGCCTAAACAAAAGGGGGGATGCATGCTGCATGCAGGGGCATTTTTTGGGAGGAATGGTGGCATTTCTCTGCCATCAGTTTCTTCCACGAGAGAGCCAGTGCCAGCCCAGGGGGTCAACTACTCACCTGCTCGCATGCAGCCCAGTGTCACCAGCCACCACTCGGGCACCCGGGGCAGCACCACGGCCACGTGGTCTCCACGCTGCAGGCCGCATGCTCCCGCGAGGACATTGGCTGTCCGCTGGCTGAGCTCCTGCAGCTGTCCGAAGTCCCAGCGCACCTCCTCCCCGTGGCTGCTCACCCACCACAGGGCAGGGCCCGGGGCTCTCCTGCCGGCCTGAGGGAAGGGGAGGCTTGCTGGTGGGGGGCTGGTGGGGGGCTGGGACACAGCCTGGGGAAGGTCCTGGTGGAAAGCTTTCTAAGCTTTCTGATCTCAGGACCCGTAGTCACTCTTAAAAAGTATTTTAAGAACCTTAAAGAGTTTTTATTTCTATGGATTCTATCTATCAATATTTCAATTAGAATTTATAAAATAGTAGTATTGCATATTAGCTCAGTTGTGAATACAGGAAAAGTGAGATAAAAACAGTCATAAAGCATAAAGTGAAAGTAGCCCCTCTGATCTTTCACAATATTTTCTGTGAAATGGTTTTTGCTCCTCAAAGGACAATTATGATACACTAGTTGGATTGGTATCTCTGTTCCAGTTCTCATTCATAAAGAACTAGAGGCCCTGTGCATGAAATTCATGCAAGAGTAGTCCTTCACAGCCCCAGCTTCATCCGGGAGATCGTCCGGAAGGACATCAGGTCTAATTAGCATATTATGCTTTTATTATTCTCCTATCTAATAACAGACAAACATGGTAATTAACCGTACCTCCGACATGCTTCCCATTGGCTAATCAGGGTGATATGCAAATTAACTGCCAACCAAGATTGCGGCTGGCAGCCAGGCAGCTGAAGCGAACAGGAGGTTTGCTTGCTCCAGTGATGGAGGAAGCCAGGGTTCCCCACCTGCCGCTGCCAGCCTCTGAGCTGCACTCTAAGAAACAATGTTGCAATTATAGAAGCTAAACAAACCCCAGAAATCTGCTTTCAGCCAGCCAG